GTGCCTGCGTGAACTCACGTGCCGCCGGACCTCGCAACATGAGCGGCGACACAGACCCGCCCCAGGCGTCACATCTGCCCGGGGAGGAGAAGGAGGAGGAGGAGGAGGAGGAGGAGGAGGAGGAGGAGGAGGAGGAGGAGGAGGAGGAGGGGAGGAGGGGGAGGGGGGGGGGTGGGGGAGGGGCGAGGAGGAGGAGGAGGAGGAGGAGGAGGGGAGGAGGAGGAGGAGGAGGAGGAGGAGGAGGAGGAGGAGGAGGAGGAGAGGAGGAGTGGGAGGAGGGGGAGGGGGGGAGGAGGTGGGAAGGAGGAGGGAGGGGGAGGAGGAGGAGGAGAGGGAGGAGTGGAGGAGGAGGAGGTGAGGAGGAGGAGGAGGTGGAGGAGGAGGAGGAGAGGAGGAGGGGAGGAGGAGGAGGAGGAGGGGAGGAGGTGAGGAGGAGGGGGAGAGGGAGAGGGGGAGGAGGAGGAGATGCCCTCCATGTGAGCTCGCTGTCACCATCGTCCCACCCCCTCGGCCTCGCACTGCTGTGGGCGGCGCCTCGTGGGCACGACTGCCTGGGGCGGGGACGGCCGGACCACCAGGACCCCCCAAAAAAGGCCCCGGGGCAGAGGGGCCCGACGCGGGCTCGCGCCCAGAGGGGGAGGAGGGGGGGAGGGGGAGGGGGAGGGGGAGGGGGAGGGGAGGAGGAGGAGGAGAGGAGGAGGAGGAGGAGAGAGGAGGGGAGGAGGAGGAGGAGGGAGGGAGGGAGGGAGGGAGGAGAGGAGGAGGAGGAGGAGGAGGAGGAGGAGGGGGAGGAGGAGGAGGAGGAGGAGGAGGAGGAGGAGGAGGAGAGGAGGAGGAGAGAGGAGGGGAGGAGGAGGAGGAGGAGAGGAGGAGGAGGAGTGGAGGAGGAGGAGGAGCCAGGGCAGCGCTCCCTCGCGTTCCCTCGGCGAGGGCTACGTTGGCCCCCCCCGTAGTACTTAAGGACCACGTCCCATAAATGATTTCGAGCACCCAGAGAAGTGTCGAAAGAGCGTCGAAGCAGTGTCGGGCGAGCGTCTCCCAGGGCCCGACACATGAAAACCCTTGAGTTTCTTGGTGCTTTTTGGGGCGCTCGAAACTCTTTCTGATGATCAAGGCTAAAGTAGGTTGGAACATCATAAGGCGAGGGAGCGGGAGGGACCCCCCCCCGCGGGCCGGAGCGCGGTCGCCTTCCCCAGCGTGCCCCATTCAGTCCCACTGGGCGGGCCACACGCGTGAACCCGCACGAGTTCCCCGCTTGTGGGTCGAGGCTCGGGAGGTCCGTCTCCCCACCGTTTCCGGCATGGGCAGCTGGCTGTTCGGGCTCTCACGTCCAGGAGTGGGAGGGGGATGAGGAAGCGAAGGAGGAGGAGGAGGAGGAGGCGGAGGAGGAGGAGGAGGAGGAGGAGGATGATCAGGAGGAGAAGGAGGAGGAGGAGGAGGAGGAGAAGGACGACGACGACCAGGACGGCGGCGACGGCGATTCGGTCTTCTCTTCCATTCGGCGACGATGCAGTGCTGGTGACCCCCTTCGGCCTCCGAACCCCCAGGAGGCCCCAGCCCAGATAGCCCTGCCCCCCCTTCCTTCTCAGAGCCCTGCCAGCCCTCTGGGCGGGGCGTTGTCTACTCGGCGCTCCAGCTCTTTCGGTGCTCTTCTTTCCCTTCGGGGAGGGCCTGTTTGAGGACTCTTGCAGTCCCGATGGGGGGCCACTTGGGGGCCTCTCGACAGCCTCTCGTGGGCTTTGGGGGGCCCGCTTGAAGCCTCCTGGCGTGCATCGGGGGCCTGTTGGGGCTGAGCAATCTAATTGCCAACCATGGTTGACCTCAACGATTAGCACTCAGTACACGATTTGGAAGGCTTCGGGGGGCCTCTTGGGACTGTCTTGGCGGGCCCAGGCCGTCTTGGAGCCTCCTTGGGACAATTTCGGGAAGGCCCGCAACAAGTCAAACCCACAGAAATGCAAGCACAATAGATGATAAGGTTCTGCATATGTTGGAGCCCCTTCGAGCTCCATTTTAGGCCCAACCTGGAGGCCAACACATCATGCTATAGAAACTGTGTTTCCTTGCCTTGTCCTGTGCTGTTTGAAGCCATATTGTTGAACCGTCTGAGATGCCATCTTGGACCGTCTGGGGACATGGGCACGGCAGTACCATGGCCACGTAGGGACTGGAAGGGTTGAAACGTTCTGTTAGGGAAGTTCCTCCCCTGGGTCTCTGGACGAGCCCGATGTGAGGAGCAAGAGCATTCGTCTGGGCCCACAAGGCTCCAAGATGGCCGAAGAGAAGACCTCCGAGGTGACGCAAGATGGGCCAAATTGGACCAACACGGCGTCCAACATGCCTCCAAGAGGCCTTAAGATGCCGCCAGAACGGCTTCGCGTGGCCACGGAGCTTTCCAATGTCCCCTAGACACGACTGTCACTTTTTGGCACGCCATGCCGTGCGGGCGACACAGGTCCAAACAGGCCGCGTCACTCATCGCTGGCTGGACCAGTTGAAATCCGCCGACACCGTCCGCGTGCGTGAGACGTGTTTCTGTTCGAGTCGCCGTCGTCGTCGCCGCCGTCGCCGCTCCTCCCCATCCCCTGGCCCTCCTTCTCGAGCGATCCAGCCAGGCGGAGTCAAACAGCGTCGCGACGGATCCGAAGGGACGCCCCTTCCCTTTGATCCCCTCCCTGCCCTTGGGGGGGGGGGTCGCCGGGGGGAATCCCGGGGGGGGGCGCCCGGGGAGGGGGGTCGCGGGAGGGGCCCCCGGGGTCGTGGCCTCCTCCCCAGGGGGGTGCCTGGTTGGACCAAGGAGGGCAGGGGGGGTGGTGGTCCGCCTGCGGACAGGGGGGGGCGCTCGGGACCCCTGCCCCCGTCTCCAGAGGGGACTTCCTCTCCCCCGGAGGCACCCTCCTCGCTCTTATCCGCTGTTGCGGGGGTGCTGAGGTTTTTCCCACATGCCTCCAGGGCCTCAGATCCGCTCCGAGGCGGCTCCGAGTGTCCACAGAGCTTGCCAAGAAGTCCCCCAAGAGGCCCCCCATCAGAGTCCAAGAGGCTCCCAAGAAGGCCCCAAGAAGGGCTCCAGAGCGTCAACGGCATCGGCGTCGTCGTCGTCGTCGTCGTTCTCGTCGTCCCTCTTCAGGGTCGGCGGCACTGGCCGTAAGGCCTTCCCAATGTAGACAGCGCGCGCCGCATTTTGCGCACGCCGGACAGACCCTTCCCTCGATGAGGGCCACTCAGGCGAGGTCGGATCAAGCTCGGGGTGGAGGGGGATGGAGGAGGAGGAGGAGGAGGAGGAGGAGGAGGAGGAGGAGGAGGAGGAGGGCGAGGAGGAGGAGGGGCGTCTGGGAAGAGCGGCGCTGCCCAGATCACGCGCCCAGGGCTTGGCCGAACGGGGTGCCAGCGTC